AAAAAAAAAAAAAAGAACAAAATCAGAAACATAAGCTATATAACTGCCCTTTATTTTTAGTAGTGCCCATATACTCTTATCACATTGACCTGTATTACCTTTCTGGTCACAAGAAGCCACAAGGCCAGTGACACTATTCCATTTCTTGTCTCGAACTTAAGGACTATTTGAAGCCATCCTCCTTACAAACCATGATTATCTGTCAAGGTTCAGAGCATAAAATAAAAACTTTCTTAAGTATTAAAAAAAACATGTATTTGAGCCAGGTAAGGTGGCTCATGCCTGTAATCCGAGCCCTCTGGGGGGCTGAGATGGGCAGATTACTTAAACTCAGGAGTTTGAGACCAGCCTGAGCAAGAGCCAGAACCTATCTCGAAAAAAATAGCCTGGTGTCGTGGTGGATGCCTGTAGTCCCTGTTACTTGGGAGGCGGAGGCAAGAGAATTGCTTGAGCCCAAGAGTTTGAAGTTGCTGTGAACTATGGCATCATGGCATTCTAGCAAGGGAAAAAAAGAGAAAAAAAACCCAAAGCATATATTCGTGTAATACAGTAATTAATGCTTTCAAAAATTGGTAGGCATGGTGGAAAAGCAATGGGAACACTTCTGTTTTCAAGTAAACCTCTGTAACTGTGACCCAGGAGACGGAGATATGACTGCTGCTATGGCCGATGCTGCTGCCAGTAGTAGCTCAAGGCCACAGAACTTGAAAGCAGACACTAGAACATGAAGTCCAGCTGCAGCAGATATGACAGAACCACACCGCTTTACCCTAATACACCCAAGTGGGCTCACATGCGTGTACGCACACAGCTACAGTAAGTATTCATCACATAACTAGTTCTCATCATTTAGGATTCAGATTGAAAACCACATCCACAGCTAGGCCTGCTCTGTTCTCTCGCAGTATGTTGTTCCTGGGTTATATCCTCCCAGTACTTGCAAAGATTACTACAAATTTGCTTTCTCTCTTGTCAGATTAAGCTCTGGGAGAAAAGGGTCACACTCATTTTGATACAATGTGCTTTCTGGATAAAAAACATTAGTGTCACTCAAGAACTTGTGAAAAATTTAAATTTTTAACTTTATTTCAAACCAGCTAAAACAGAACTCCAGAGATGGGGCTTGGTGGCCAGTGTTTAAACAGGCCCTCCTAGTGATTCTGATGTTCTCAGTGAAGCTGGGAACTACTGTATGATTACATCCCAGCACTTTGTAAACACGAGTGATGCTCAACACACTTTCTTAAAGTGTTTTATTAAGCCTACTGAAAATGTACTCTGAAATATCCTCATGAGAAAAACAGTACAGAGGCCAAGCCATTTTTCTCTAGGTTTGCTAGTAACTTTTCAAGAATTGGTGGAAATTTTTACAAGAGTCACAGTGAAAGAGTTCATTATATACAAAATGATTTTATTTAAAGACCAAAAATTAACACCATTTTACTTCTTTGCAGCTTTAATTTTCAAAATCATAACATTAACTGGCTCTGGGTGACTAAATATTTTCACATGCCCATTAAGCTAAAAATAATTTCTATGTAGGACTGAAGTAGAACTGCAAGTTACTGCTATAGGGAGTGCATATTTATTTATAATATTCTTGTTTGCTCTTTTACATAATTCCATTTACAAATAGCATCACTGCAAAGATTTACACGTAATTCCTACCTCCTTCAGGTTGTTCTGTCATTAATCTTCTGAGGTCTAGCAAGCTAAGAACCCTTAGTGAACAATTTGCTCCATTTTTTTTTAAAAGAGTCTTACTACTTCACTTTTGATAGAGTACCACAGTATCACAGCTCACAGCAACCTCAAACTCTTGAGCTTAAGTGGTTCTCTTGCCTCAGCCTCCCAAATAGCTGGGACTACAGACACCTGCCACAATGCCTGGTTATTTTGTTGTTGTTGTTGCAGTTGTTGTTGTTTAGCTGGCCCGGGCTGGATTCAAACCTGCTAGCCTCAGTGTATGTGGCTGGCCCCATAACTGTGCTATGGGCACTGAGCCAATTTGCTACATTTCTTGTACCAGATTTCTCTTTGAGATATCTGATATAGATTAAGGGATGCACTTGGAACCAAAAAACTTCCCATAATTTTTTTTCACAGTTTTTGGCCAGGGCTGGGTTTGAACCCGCCACCTCCAGCATATGGGGCCAGCGCCCTACTCCTTTGAGCCACAGGCACCACCCAACTTCCCATAATTTTTAAATTTTCTATACTCATACAGCTTCTCTCCTGTAGGCATTTATAAGAAATTCTATTGTCTACAGTCTTTCTCATATTTGCTACATATGTTGTTTGTTTTTTTGAGACAGAGTCTCACTTTGTCACCCCCAGTAGAGTGCCAGGGCGTCAAAGCTCACAGCAACCTCCAACTCTTAGGCTCAAGTAATTCTATCGCCTCAGCCTCCCAAGTAGCTGGGACTACTAGCTGCCCCAACACCTGGCTATTTTTTTTAAGAGACGGGGTCTCGCTCTTGCTTAGGCTGGTCTCAAACCTGTGCGCTCAGGGCAATCCACCTGCCTGGGCCTCCCAGAATGCTAGGATTATAGGCATGCTCCACCACACCCAGCCTCACAGGTTTTTTTTTTCCTAGTGCATATACTTAGGTCAATTAAAGGATGATACTGACAAAGGGTTTCCCCCATTTATTGTCTTCATATGGTTTCTTTAGGGTATGAACTCTGACAGAAGGGTTTGCATCATTGCTAAAGGTCTTCTCATATTCACTACATTCCTAAAACTTTTCTGCAGTATAAATTTTCTGGCACTGAATCAGAGAGGAACTATGACTGAAGTTTATGATAAATACCATATCAAACAGTTTCTCTCCTATATGCTGTCTCAAATATGTAGTGACTCATATGGTCTAAAGGCTCCTCCATACCTCCTGCACTATTGAGTTTCTCCCCGTTATGTATTCTTTGATGGGCAGTAAGATTTGAGCCTTTGCTAAAAGCTTTCCCACATTCATTACACTTATATGGCCTTTCTCCAGTATGAATTCTCTGATGTACAGTAAGGTTTGAACTACAGCTGAATGTCTTCCCACATTTAATACATTCATAAGGTTTCTCTCCAGTATGAATTCTATGATGCTGAAGCAGAGATGATCTATGACTGAAGGCTTTCCCACATATACTGCATTCATAAGGTTTCAGTCTGATGTGGTTTCTCAAATGCATATTCAGTGATTCGGGCTGGTTAAAGGATTTCCTGCATTTCTGGCATTCAAAGGGTTTTTCTTCAGTGTGAATACTCTGATGCTGAATAAGAAATGAGAGGCTACTAAAGACTTTCAAACATTTGTTACATTCATATTGTTTCTCTATAGTGTGAATTCTTTGATGTCGGGTAAGGTGTGAGCTGCAGCAAAAAGCTTTCCCACACTCACTACACTCAAAAGGTTTCTCTCCAGTATGAATTTTTTGATGGTGAATGAGAGATGACCTATGAATGAAAGCCTTTGCACATATACGACACTCATAGAGTTTTTCTTGAGTATGAATTCTTAGATGCTCAATAAGATGTGAAACACGACTGAAAGACTTTCCACAGTTCATACATTCATAGGGTTTCTCTCCAGTATGAGTGCTTTGATGATTAGTAAGCGATGAAACATGGCTAAAGGCCTTCCCACATTCAATACATTTGTATGGTTTCTCTCCACTGTGGCTTATCTGATGTCGAGTAAGGGATGAGCCATGGCTAAAAGTCTTCCCACATTCATGACATTTGTAGGGTTTCTCTCCTGTATGAATTCTCCAGTGGCGATTAAGGATTGATTGTTTGCCAAAGGCTTTCCCACATTCACTGCATGTATAGATTTTCACTCTATCGGAAGTGTGATGAAGGGTAAGAGATTTGCTCTGGCTAAAGCCTGCTCCACTTTCATTAGAATTCAAAAGTTTCTTTCCACCACTTATTTTCTCACTTTTTGTATCTGCCTTTTTTTGTAAGCTCTTCACTATGTCATAGTTATGTGATTTCCCCTCAGCAGAAATTCTCTGTGGTTCAGAAACAATGGACTTTAAATGAAAGATGCTTCTAAATGTATTGCATTTGTAAACACTGTCCCCAGTGGAGCTTTCTTTAAAGGTGAGGGTCACTGGTCTCAGATGTTCTACTTGACTTCCATGCTTCCTCTCCAACTTCTCTATATATGCTGAATCCTTATTAAAATCTGAAAATTCACAAGTTTGTTTTACAGTTTTTTCTATGATTACTGTTGGGGATAAATCTTCATCATAAATGTCTTTCTTTGTTGATAATTTCTTATCTTCCCATCTTGATTCCCAATCTGAAATATATCAAGAAGGCAAAATACTACTTATTTTACTTCTTGAAAAGAAATTTCTTTTGGTGAAAATAGGAGAATTGAATAAGAAATACCCCCAAGGGTATTTGAGCCCCCTGTGGCTCAAAAGGGTAGGGCACCAGCCCCCTATGCCAGAGGTGGCAGATTCAAACCCAGCCCTGGCCAAAAAAAAAAAAGGAAAAAAAGACATACCCCCAAAACACATGGCTCTGACAACCCATATATTTCAAAGATTTCTGAACAATGTTCAAGTGGTGAACTTGAACTGAACAATGAACAATGTTGAGTGTGCTTCTCTAGTCTCTGTGAATAGAAAAGAGAGAATAGAGAAGCATACTGAAGTAGGAGTAGAGTGATGAGGGAAATAATGAAGGTGTTAGAAAGAAAACATAGAAGGCATTCTGGATTCCAAGCCATCATTTTGTGCCAATACTCATATGAAAGATCACATTTTGTTTCAAGAACTTCTTCTCCAACCTTCAATTAATCTTAATTTGCTATCAGGCCAATATGCTTAAAATGTAAAACTAATAATAAATTAAAGTTACAATAACAAAAAAAGGTAAATGCTCTTATGGTTCACAAATATTTAGTTTTCTGTATTTTGTAAATCTGTGATAAATTCTATGATCATTTGTAAGACATTAGAAAATATTCCTAGAATTATTCTTACATATTCCTTACTTCCTGTAACACATTAATATTTGATCTATTAAGTTCAGCTTTAGAAGAAAAGGGATTTTTCCATCTGACAGCTTTTCTTGGCCTAAAACCATCACGATGTTTTTTCTTCAAAAAAAGACTTAAGAATAGTTTGCCAGACAGCACCTATGGCTCAGTGAATAGGGTGCCAGCCCCATATACCAAGGGTGGAGGGTTTGAACCTGGCTCTGGCCAAATTGCAACAGGAAGTAGTCAGGCACCTATAGTCCCAGCTACTTGGGAGGCTGAGGCAAGAGAATCGCCTAAGCCCAAGAGTTGTCTACCAAGGGCGACAAAATAAGACTCTCTCTCTTAAAAAAAAGGGCCATGCCTGTGGCTCAAAAGGGTAGGGCACCGGTCCCATATGCTGGAGGTGGCAGGTTCAAACCCAGCCCCAGCCAAAAATAGCAAAAAAAAAAAAAAAGAATAATTTCCCTTATTTTGTCTTAAATAAAGCAAGAATTTGTATTATTATGATTCCAACTTTGATTAAATGACATAAGAAATACAGACAAATAATAATTTGGGATGGAGTAATGATTGTTTTGAAATCTAATATAAATATCCCTTAATTTCATTTATATCTGAAATTTCTGAAGACAGTATCCCTAAAATGTTTCCACACTCACAAGAATCTTGAGCAAAGACCTCCTTTGCCTAATTCACCATAACTCACCTGGAAACACACTTTTTGACAGATTTTTCTCCACCATCCAGGGCTCTTTTCCATCCTCCAATAAAGTGATCACATATGGCTTAGTTATGGAAAGACCTACTCACAGGAAAAATACAGAACTTGTTTAAGCTGTGGTCCTCAAGGATGAAAGACCATCACAAAAGGGACCAAAGGAAGGGTAGAAGAATGTTCATTGAAATGGGACAATAAGCTTCAGGCAGGGCACAAAAGAGCTGCACATTTCCTTTGGAACAAGGTATAGAAATTCAGCCATTTACTTAGGGGGGTCTCTAGCAATTCACAGTGGCAAAAGAAAGGTCCTCCCCTATTGGAGCAGAAGGACAGATATCCTTACCTAGAGAGACCAGGTTCTCATAATTCTGGACCATCACATCCTTGTATAAATCCCTCTGAGCAGAATCTAGCCATCCCCACTCTTCATGAGAGAAGTCTACAGCCACATCGCTAAATGTCACCTGAAACAACAAATGTATTTGGGCTTAATCACAGCACAGGACTGTGTCATTGTACAAGGGGTAAAATTACCCTTAAAAAAATGTAACAAGGCTCAGCGCCTATAGCTCAACCGGCTAAGGCGCCAGCCACGTACACCTAAGGTGGTGGGTTCGAATCCCCAGCCCGGACCCGCCAAACAACAATGACGG